GAGTTAAAGGTAGTAGACTAATTAATATTGTAGAGGAAATTTTAAGGCAGCCTGTTGCATAAGTACTGCAAGTTGCTTTTAGCTAGATTGATAGAGACAATTATACAAAAAGGAAAAAGCAGGAAAAAAATTGAGTAACATAAAACATAAATTTTGGCCTGTAAGGAACCACGTGTAATAGTGAGATTTAATGAGGCAGAGCTGATAAACACAACACTAGTAACACTAAAAAGAAACTTAATATTTTATACATAACAAGAAGAAAAATATCTTTAGGGCATCTCTAGAATCAGCAGACTCTACCCATAAAAGAGTCTAGTAACTATTCAAATGATAGTTAAACTTTTTGTTTAACTATGATAAGCCCCTTAACTTCTGTGGGTTATATTTTCTTCCTTGTTAAAAAAGAAGACAATGTTGTTCAGCTCTTTTTCATCTCTAATTTGCCCTGACTTTGTGGATACTGCCTTTGGTATTTTGGTATTTAAATGCCACTGCCATTGCCAACACCATCCCTAATTCAACCATCTCAATTTACATACTGACCTCTATTAACAAGCTACTGTAAATACATATCTAGGTACAGTAATCACCATAAATCAAATTATAAATAATCATTAGGAGATATCTTTCCAATTTTGTGGATGAAGAAACTATGCTCAAAAAGTGATCTCATTTACCTGAAGCTGTTAAGGTCAAAGTGGCAGTCAGAAGGCTGTAATTTAGGTTCTGGGATTGAGGTGACTGAATATTCTTTCTCTAGTACCAACTCTACAAGTCTTCACCCTACTGATTCTCCTCTTCTTTTCACCTCTCCTCTTTAAGTCACCAGCATCAGTAAGTAAATATATTTATCAGGTTTGTTTCTCCTATTTTCTTTAATGCTAAGGCCAGCCTGTGGGCTTGTCATCTTGGAGAAGAATAAATTAAACAGAAAATGAAGGTTGTTTGGAGGGGACACTTCCATGTTCAATTAGACAATACTTATGTGTCATTAGAAAATTTACCTTGCTTGGCTTTATCTGACTTAAGAATTACACAAGCTAGTCTGTTCTTTATAACCATGATGTTATTCAAACTTACAACCAGAACCAAGGAGTAGCAGCTAGAATTGGAAACTATTATTTTCTAAAGTAATTCCAATCAATTTAAAATAACCTTGTTTGATGTCACAAAAACAGAGATTTGAATAGATTTTGCAAAACTAAACATTTTTCTCTACTACTTAGAAGAAATAAATTTTATTTTTATTCTCAAAATTAAGTAAAGTAATTAGACCACTCACAATCTACCATCTTAAAATTTAAGTTTCATTTTTAATGCATGGCTTCTACTAGATTTCTAATCACTTAGGAAGGAGGTCATATTAGGTAGTGTGTTTGCACTTGGGATATTTTATACATAGAAGAATCTTCTTTGGGCAGATTTGGGGTCATATCATGACTCATATGACTAATTTATTGGTTCTCTAACTTAATATAATTCATTTCATCTCTCCAGACATTATTTTTCCCATTTGTAAAAGTAGGACTTTAGTTTCTGACACATGGGTCACTGTAAACTTTCAATGGAAAAGTACTGATATTCATGTCTCGTGTATAGTAAGTATTAAATAAATGTAAGTTCATTTCCTCTTGTTTACAGAATCATCTCTATGGATTTAATTGAATTCTATACTTTTCTGAGTTTAGAGTGTCCTCAAAGAAATGCAGTTATTAGGCAAGACTTAGGTCTGGAGCAGTAATTCTTATAGTGAGTGTATGGAAAGCATTATAATATAAATTCTAGCAATCTATTGTTCGCTGATTAGAATGACATTGGACTGGTTTCTCGAGTTCAACTTCAGCATATGTAGAGATGGGGACAGCTATCACAAAGAGAAAGAGAGATGCGATGGTAGTTACTATTGTCTTCCCTAATTTGGAATTTGAGGACCTAAAAAGACTTCATCATCCTGTAATGATTTGATTAATTCTATAATATGCAATATGCATTAAGTATATAAAGTGGGTGAAGATAGGGACAACTATTTGTAAGAAACTAGAGACAGTTAGATAATGAAGATTTCCAGTGGACTTGCTTTGAAATCTGTATTTCTTTAAATTGTTTTTTTTTAAATGTTCAGTTCTGTTTTGATATGTTTAATCTTACCCTCTTTGAGATATAAAACAAATGTGTAGGACTGATAATCATATTACTGAGTTTATGTTCGATCATAGAGCAGAATGGTTTGTAGGGTCACTTTTTGAATGTCATTCTAAATACTTTAATTCTATAACCTGAACAGCTATTTCTAAGATGACAATGTGTAACTTATCAACCGGCAATTTCTTGCCGTTTGTTTGTCTGTAATTTTGTATTATTTCTGCCCTTTTTTTTTATCTCCATGTATTTTTTTTGTTTCCTTTTCTTTAAATAAAAAAAAAGCATTTGTTATTTGAAAACATATATTAATTATATTATATCAAACATATTTGGAAGCAAAATAAAACAAAAATTATTTCATCTATAATATAAACTGCAAGAAGTACAGTTTTGTAAAATCTTCCTGACTATTACAAACAAAAGTACTAATTTTTTGGTACTCAGTTTTATGAGTAGATTTTTCTATAAGTTCAGGCTCTTACTATTAAAGTAAAAAGTTCACAATGATCCTAAAATGAAATTTCTATGTTTATCAGAGGAAACTATGGATTATGAGATTTAAAATGCTGAATGAATTGCACTGCCCTTGTGAAAGTCACTTTAGAACCCTTTCTTATGTTTACTTTTTGTATATTGTATATACTTATTGTATATTTATCACCTTTAAAAATAGTTGCCTGTGATCCAAAAGTTGAAGTTATTATAACTGGATTATCTGAAAGAAATATATGAAGATTAAGAAATATTATCTGATTGTCTTAGTGATATGAACTACATTTCCAGAAGTTCCATTTTAGTTATATTCCTTAATATTCCTCCATTATTTAATAATCCATGATGTATACTCCCTCTCATTTACCCAACAGTTCATAATCAAATCATTTTATGACTAGAACCATCTGTACTAAGCGCTCCTCTATTATTGAAGATGAGATTACTGAGACAATACTAATAAAACAACTTGCCCAAGGCTACACAGTGAGTTATCAGCACAACAGGTTATAATCCAGACTTCTTAACTGTTTGTATATTGACCTATGTACTTCGTCACACTGCCTGCAAAGTATGTGAATCAATAAGAGAAAAGCATTTCCCTGTAAAATATCTTGATCTGGAGTATACGTTAACCTTTTGGCCAAAAGCTTTTACATAGAATAAAAAACCATCCCCCACCAGCCATTGTTGTTGGAACTCATTGAAATTGTGGTTTCACAACTATTTCTGTCTTCTTTGCTAGAGATATGACAGGAGCTGTAACTTCTTTGGCTCCTTAGACCCCCACTTGCTTATCTCAAACACAGCTAGTCACAAAGGACCACCAAAAACTAGGCAGAAATGTGTTCATTCATTTGAAGTCTTGTGCTACCACACCGCTGTGATTTGAGAAGTCCATAAAACATGAACTCAAAGACATTCTCAGCTGGAGCCCCCCAAAATACAATTGACCAAAGAAAGATCTATATTTAACCTGAATTGTTGCAGAAATAATTGTCCTACATGTATGACTTGTTCCCAGGTGCAATTCTCTAGTTATTTGCTACTTTTGTTTACCTAAATATCACCTACTTTAGCTGTGAATAATCTTACTGTATTTAATTGCTAGCACACATTCCCTAATTAATGGAAATAGCAGTGATCTGTATATCCATTTGAACAGCCAAAATAAAAATATCCGCACTTGCAAGGTTCTTGAAATTGAGAATATTCCATCATATTTTTTCTTACATGAGAAAACCAGAGTAAAACTAAAGATGAAGAGCAAAATTAAAAATAAATAATAAGAAGTAAAGTGATAGGTCATTATCAAAGGGGAAGATGTTTAAAGGTAGAAGAAGGGGAGAGAAAGAAGGGATAAAGTATGCAAAAAGGAATTGGTATGAGTTATGTACATGTACAAACTCTAAACAAGGAATATAAACATGAAAGACTGGAAATATGTACCCAAAAAAGGAAGAGATCAAAGCATAGGCAGAAGTGGAAGGTGGGAAAAGAAAGAGGATGAAAAAAGGAATTAAGATATATTATACACATGAGCCAACTTTCCCAAGGGAATGTAAGCATATACTAATAAACTTTAAAAAGTAGAAATTTTAAAAATCCTTCAATTAGAAAAAGCACAACAAAGTAGTTTAATCATCTTACTTAAAGTTATCCTGGTTTCCCTGATTTTGCATAGTTCATAGAAGATTTCTTTCAACTCAGTCAACTTAGCTCAGAACCAGAGAAGTACTAACACTCTTTAATAGTAATAATAACTGAAAAGACAGACATCTCACTTCTGGGGTCTTCTATCAAATAGGGTTGAGGTTCACACACAAAAAAAACATCTTCTAAATGATCAATTAACGCCTCTGGGTAGACTCTGAAATGATCTGACATAATTTATCTTTTCTTAAACTAAAAACCATTAGAGTCCTAAATACATTCACAGTATTCTCTGAAAGATTCAGGCTGCTGTAGGGGAAATGTGATATGTACTATAAAACACAGATACTAGTTCCAGCTCTACCACTAACTAGCTGGTAATCCTAAGTGTCTTACTGCACTCAGTATCTCTCTGAGCTAAACTAACTAATTCAATGATCGTATGCCTGAAATCTTCTCTCATTTTGCAAGTAGATAAACAATAAGCCGCAGAAATTCAGCAGAATCCCCTTTATCAGATAAAATTTTCAAATATTCTCGATAAGTTTCATTGAGCACAACTCAATACTTAACATTTTATGTCATCTTTCAACTCCCACTCTATAAAGAACCCTTAAGATGTATTACAGACTTCATGGTCCTGGTGTACATGTGGGAATTGATGGCATTAACCCTAACTTTGGACTCTGGTAAGATACAAAAACAGTCACCTTTGTTCACAGTGTAGAATTCTGAGATGAGAAACCAGAGACAACTTCCCCAACCTCTCTCTTGGTTTTTTTGTTCCCACCAAGCCTTCCATATGGAATCACCAACTCCCGGGGGCTAGGCTGTAACTTACCCTGGAGCTCAGCTGGGGTATGCACTCTTGTTTCTTTGCAACAAGCTAGAGTTTTTTTTTTTAAGCCTAACTATGGGTGGCACCCACATATCCTGTTGACAACTGAAGAACTGGTTATTGAAAGAGGAAGTTGAGTATATTTGGTGTCTCACCACAGAAATCTTATTTGCATGTACAGAAAGTAAGTCCCTTGAGCACATTATGGTAATTAAGTTTTGCTTCTTTTTCATTTCCTAGATACAGAGAAATTCAAACAAGAGAGTCAAAGGTACTGCACAAACAGGGAAGGCATATCAGCATTCCTCACTCTTCCCCAGAATATGATCTACCACAACTCACATGCCTGTCTCACTAGATTCCACTAGTTTCTGCAAAAAAGGTTGAGTTATCAAGCAAAACCTGCAAGAGGTTTAACAGGAAAATTATTAATCTTTCAAGTTTCAGTGGAAAAGTCTGAGGCAGTCTCAATAAAACAACTCAAAATTAACAATAAGTTTACTTTTTCTTAAACTATTCTATCTAGGGTAAACTTCTCTTAACTCCTTCAAATCTAGATTCACAATTAAATGTTTAGCTGTTGGTGTATTTTTTATCCTCTTATGTACTATAAACCACTGTAGGATAAAGAATATGTCTCAATTAACTCTTTGTTCCTACATAGATTATCACTAGGGGTTTTTATGGATATTTATTGAATGAATAATACAGGGAATAGATGAACAAGTAATATTTGATGAAACCATAGATAAATAAATGAGCATTACTGGTTACACAGTTTCTCTCTAGTGTAGTCAGATTCTAATAATTATGTTCTCTGTTTTTTTGGATTTTGACAAGTTTCCAAATAAATATGAAACACTTGAAGAAAATAGTCTCAGCAAAGATTAAGAGTAACTCTGAGAAAAGACCAAAAAAAAAAAAAAAGACCAAGAGTAACTCTGAGAAATATGACTTACAAAGCAGCAAGTAAGTACCAAAGTATAAGGAAACTACACTCAGAACTCAAGACTGTGAGCTGCAAAGAAATTTCTAGGTAATAACCACAACAAAAGAGAGAAGTTAGGTTGTTGTATATTAGGGTTGAAGGCAAAATTTTGGATCTTTTAAAAAATTATTTTATTTTATTAGTACATGTTTACAGTTCATGCAGTTTATCATCATCTTGGGAAGTGGTTACATGTACTTAGTACAGCTTGTTTTGTTTTTCTTATCACCTTCCTCTTCCTCTCTCCTTCTTTTGCTCATCATCAACTTTTACATACTTGTTGATATTGTCTTAGCTCCCATTATGGCATATAATGCTTATATTGATTGGAATTATGATAATATATATGGCACATCTTTATTCCTCTCATTTTCCTTTCCCTTCTTCCTTTCACTTTATCCTTTTATTATATACAGCTACTTTAGGTTGAAATATTGTAGGAAATCAGACAGGTCTAGGCCCTCAACAGAGTCAATGCAGAGTGTGAGAATATACTACGACTGTGGCAGGCATTGCATTTGTTGAAGTCCAGGCCTCAAGGCAATTACAGAATGACCAGGCCTCCATACCACCCCAGAGGATAAGATAATTGTTAACATCTGTTCAATAAAGGCTAGACAGACATCAGACACCCAAGTGATTGACCAAAACTCCTGATCCATCCATTCATAAAGAAGGTCTTTGTTCTTTCCATGTACACTTGCTAGGTGATTTGGTTCCTCATTAGATCAATATTGTTGAAGCAGCTATAATTATAATCAATCTTATTGGTTAGTCACAATCTTAATCCATATTGTACACACCTTTTAATTTTGCTCTATAAAACTTCCTCTGAGAAGTGGGCTCCTTGACAACCCACTTTCAGTTCTCTGCCTATCTCTCAAATGCTGTTTCACTAAACTTTTCTTACTCCTAACCTCTGCTGTTCCTTAGAATTAGTTCTTTGATTTTGGGGAACATGAACTTAGCATATCTGATATCTAGCAAGTTGGAAGTTACATTCATTTCCCCTACATCGCTTGTTCCCTTGGACCATTTCTCTATAGGATAAGATCAGTCACCTTGTTCCTTTCTATCCATTCCTTGTCATTTTCTTTGTTTGTACTTTGTCTCACTCAAATGAGAGATACCACACAGTATACAAGTTTTTGTGTATGACTTATTTTATGCAGTTAAATTATATTTTCCAGATGCATTCAGTTTTTCCTACGTATGCCTCAAACTTGTCATTATTTATAGCAGAAAAATATTCCATCATATATAGATACTACATCTATGTATAGCACTATATAGATTGGATAAACGCATCTTTTAATCCAATTATTAGTTGATGGTCATACAGGCTATTTCAAGGATTGAGCTGTTAAGAGCTGTGCTGTTATAAACATGTGGGTCTGGGCTAGTCTTTGTAGGTAAGGACTTAAGCTTTTGGCCATTTAATATGATGACTGTGTTGATAGTTGTGGTTGTATCTTGTAATCTATTCCCTTGATCTTCAGATCTGTTTTTATTCCAGTGCCATGTTGATTTTATTACAGTAGCTTTGTAGTAAAACTGGAAGTCAGGGATTGTGATGCCTCCTGTCTAGCCTTTGCTGGTTAGAATTGTCCTTGCTATTCTAGGTCTCTTCTCTTCCAGATGAATTTTGGGAGTGATATCTCTAGACCTATGAGGTATGTTGACAGTATTTTCATTGGGGTTACACTAAATTTGTATAATAATTTTGGAAGAATGCAATTTTCACAATATAATTCTTCCTATCCATGAGCAAGGGATGTCTTTCCATTTTCTGAGATCCTCTTCAATTTCTTTTTTCTGGGGATTATAATATTCTCTGTTTAGATAATTACTTCTTTTGTGAAATTAATTCCTAAGTATTTCATTATTTTTGATGCTAGTGTGAAGGGTGTGGCTTCTCTTATTTCTCTCTCTGTGATTTTGTTGTTGGTTTATAGTAATGCTATTGATTTTTGAGGATTGTGTTAGTATCCAGCTACATTTCTGAACTTATTTATTACATCTTGGAGTCTTTCAATGGAGTTTTGGGAGTCTTCTATGTAGAGTATCATATCATCTGCAAATAATGATAATTTAACTTCCTCTTTTTCTATCTTTACCCCTATTATTTATCTCTCTTGTCTACTTGCTCTGGCTAATATTTCCAGTACTATGTTTAATAGGAGCAGTGATAAGGGATATCCTTGACTTGTGCCTGATTTTAAGGTAAAGGCATTCAGCTTTTGGCCATTTAATATGATGCTGGCTATTGGTTTGTCACAGATGGCCTTTATCATATTGAGGTAGACCATCTATTCCAATTTTCTGTAAGGTTCTTATCATGAATGAGTGTTGGACCTTATCAAAAGCTTTTTCTGCATCTATAGAAATGATCATGTGATTCTTACTTTTGGCCTTATTGATATGGTGGATTACATTTATTGATTTATGTATGCTGAATCATCCCTGCATGCCTGGGATGAACCCCCCTTGGTTGTAGTGTATAAACTTCTTGATGACTTACTGCATCCTGTTTGCCAATATTTTATGGAGCATTTTTGCATCTGTGTTCATTAGGGAGATTGGCCTGTAGTTGTCTTTTTCACTTGAGTCTCTCTCGGGTTTTGGTATTAGAGTAATATTTGCTTCCAGGAGTGACTCAGAAAGGATTGCTTCCCTTTTGATTTCATTGAAGATTTTGAGGAATGCCAAGATTAAGTCTTCTTTGTATTTCTTGTAGAATTCCACAGTGAATCCGTCTGGGCCTGGGCTAGTCTTTGTAGGTAAGGACTTAATTACATTTTCGATTTCATTAATAGAAATTGGGTTTTCAGCAGTTTTACCTCTTCTTGGTCCAGCTTTTGTACTTTATATGTTTTTAGGAATCTGTCCATTTCTTCTGTGTTATCAAACCTATGAGAGTAGGGGTTTTTGAAATAAGTGTTGATAATCTTCTGTATTTCTATAAAGCCTGTAGTGAATTCGCATTTTTATTCCATATTGCATGAATTTGAGCTTTTTCTTCCCTTTTTAAAACATAAATTTGGCGAGGGGCTTATCAATGTTATTTATTTTTTCAAGGAACCAACTCCTTGATTCATTGATACTTTGGATTGTTTTCTTAGTCTCTATTGCATTGATTTCTGCTCTGAGTTTTATAATTTCTTCCCTTCTTTTAGCTTTGGGCTTGACTTCCTCGTGTTTTTCTGGATATCAGCAATGTAGCATCAGGTTTTTTATTTGTATTTGTTCTGTTTTCCTGATGTAGGAACTAAGTGCAATAAATTTTTCTCTGAGGACTGCTTTCATTGCATCCCACAGACTCTGGTAAGTTGTATTTGTATTTTTCTTTGCTTGTAGGTATGGTTTAATTTCTTCTTTAATTTCCTCTGGAACCCATTGAATGCACAAGAGTGTATTATTTAATTTCCATGTGTTTGGGTGGTTTATGAAGTTTATTTTATCATTAATTTCTGCTTTCATGGTGCTATAACACCATGAAAGTAATGGGATAACATGCATGGGAAATTTTCAATTCTTTTGCATTAATTTAAATATATTCAGTGGGCTAGTATATAGTCTAGTTTAGAGAATGCCCCATGTACTGCTGAGAAGGTGTATATTCTGATGTTATTGCATTGAACTTTCTGTGCATGTCTATCAGGTCCATTTGTTCATAGTTTTGATTCAGTTCTGTTATTTCTTTGCTGATTTTCTGTCTGATTGATCTGTGCCTTGGTGTCAATGGTGTGTTAAGATCTCCTGTTATAGTTGTGTTATTGCTAATTTGATTTTTTGTTTCTATTAATACTTGCTTTGTATAACTGGGTTCTCTGGAATTTGGTATATATATATATATATATATATATATATATATATATATTAAGATTGATATCTCTTCCTCTTGAAGTTTTCCCCTAACCAGTATTTAGTGACCTTCTTTATGACTTAGCATCATTCTTGGTTTGAAGTTCACATTGTCTGCAAACAGAATAGCTATCCCTGCTTTTTTTT